TTTAATAATTAATAGGTCATTCGGCCACGTCTTGTCGCGGCGGTGCATCCTTTGTGTTTACCGCTCGTTCTTCCGTGACGGCAACAGTGCAACCAATGTTTTCTAATCGCGAGGATTGCGAAATATAAGCACGACGAAGTATACTTAATCCATCGGTGCCTAACAGACTAAAACCGACGCCTTACCTCGTCAACAATTCTGCGAGTGGCTTATTGCACACCGCGGTGCCACAGGACACCGGACTAGTAGTTTGTACAACCAACGTAACGAACATTGGTGGTCATATCACAACCCACGCGTCCTTAGACAAGATCTAGACTACATTTTCACTCTAGATATCTAGAAGACTACATTTTGAACATTTATTAAAATACATGTAAAACAGTACTGATAAGTTAACCTCTAATTGCTTTTTAAGCTATTGCATAGCTTTTATCTCGGGCCTTGAGCGTGGAGACCGAATCCAGAAATTCCGTAACGAAAATAACCTAACACACCCCACGTGATACTTTTTAGTTTTGCCATCTATCGATGAATAGCAGAACTTTTAATGACTTTTTTGAAATATCACGCTTATCGTAATCCCCCTCTTCGAACCCGCAATCTAATATATAAAAAAAAACAAAAAAAAACTGCATAAATATAAAACATCCTCTAGATCCGAATTTAAACGACTAAATAGTTCTGGGGTACCTCAGGGGAGTATTCTAGGGCCTTTATTGTTTATTTTATATATAAACGATTTACCGAATGTGACTGAGCATAAATGCGTACTATACGCCGATGACATTACCTTAATTATAGAAGATAGCGATAAAAATAACATAGAGAATAAGATAAACAATGAACTGGGTAATATTATCAATTGGTTAGAATGTAATTACCTTAAAATAAATGTTAATAAAACGAAAATGATACAATTTCAGACATACAATAGTAAACCCATTAAATTAGATATTAAATGTAATAATAATGTAGTTGAAGAAGTGGATGCGACGTCATTTTTGGGCATTACAATAGACAAACACTGTAATTGGAAGCAACATATTCAGAACCTTTGCATGAATTTGGATAAATTTGTTTACGCTATATATCGCCTTAAACAAATATCGACTCTTAGCACTGCTTTAAGCGCATATCACGGCTATGTGTCGTCAAAACTACGATATGCGATTATAATATGGGGCAATTCAGTTGAGGCAAATAGGGCATTTCTTGTGCAAAAGAAATGTATGCGAGCACTATCCAACTTACAGCAAACCGATAGTTGCAAAGAGCATTTTAAGAAATACAACATACTACCTCTACCTAGTCTGTACATTTATGAGATTTGTGTTTTTGTGCACAAACATCAACGGCTATTTTGTAAACATAACGACGCTGTCGCCAGGTCAAGCAGAAACACACATAAACTCTTAGTTCCCAGACAAAGAATAAGTATGTATAGTAGGAATGTATACTGTATGGCTATACATATTTATAACAAGCTACCAAATAGATTTAAGGAAGACACCATTAATGTTTTTAAAAGAAAATTATTTACGTTGCTCTTAGATAAATGTTTCTACAGTGTTAAAGAATTTTTTGACGATGAGAAATTGTGACATAATTATTACTATATTACTAAATAATGCATGATTAAATTGTAAAAAAAAAACAGTAAATTTCAGTATATTAACATTTTGTTCACCAGATAATGGTAGAATGTGGCTAGCATCTAAAACGAACCTACTAACAACTCTGTAAACCCATATTCTGACAAATAAATATATTATTATTATTATTATTATTATTATAAATAAAATAAATAAATAATTATAATTGCATAAGTTGATAAAAAATGCTATGCAATAGCTTTACCGCCGCAGTCCCCGAGTGCCACACGTCTTTTTTTTATTAATTATTATACATATCACTAAAGATTTATTTATTTTTTACTTATTTCAAGCGTGCTTTTAAATTAAGTCAAATTTTAGTATTTGGATGTTTTGTTAGGTACTTTAATTATCAATGAAATGTAGCGAGGTATGCGATACCGATGGATAGGTCATTGACACTTGCCTACCGATTGCAGTGTGTCTACAAATTGTGAGTTCTTGAGACAACTTTGTGATGCTAATTACTCAATATTTTTGTACCATGTGATACTAAACTAAAATGAGAAAGATTATTCTGTGTTAATATGAACGGCAACTACAATTTCACGGTGTATGTATATATATTAATAGAGCGAGTGTCTTAAAAAAAAAAACAAAAACTTTCGAACTTGCAATTGTCCCTTTCTGCAACTGCAACAGTCCGCTCTACACGAATACAGCTATTTATTTATTTATTGGTTTACCAGTAATTATTACATAAAAACATTCGTAAAAAATAGAACATAGTATTGACCTTAATCTAAGTGCATAACTTATGTAGGTAAACACCGCATGCATATAATCTAATATGGCTTTAAAAAAAAGAAAAAAAAATACTACATATTAACAAGGGTTGTGAAAAAAGTAGAAAAATAAAAGGTTGTAGAACCTATAACCTAATATTACAGATAGGTACTATCTCCAAATAGAACAACAATTAGTACATAGTAAGGTTGTGGACTCGGTTCTTAAATCGTTGAAATTTTGTGCCAAAAATATCTATCTGCTTACTGATTTGATTGTATTTCTTGCTTAGCCGTGAAACAGGCGAGTTGGAACCTAAAACCGACTTTCGCAAAGGAGGATGTAGGAGCATCATTGGTTTTCGGGGATATTTGTGAGGTATATTGAATTTAAATTAAATCTAGGCAATCAATATTGTTGTGTAGTAATTTAAATAAAAACAATAAATCAGATGAGTTCCTGCGTTTTTCTAGTGAGTCAATTTTGAAATATTTGAGGCGTTTCAAGTAGCTTGGTTGTTTCTTTACAAGACCCGTAGAGTAGGCAAGATGGTTCAAGAAACGCTTTTGGATTCGTTCAATTCTAAGGCTATGTGCAGCGTAGTGAGGACGCCAAGCTACGACACAATACTCAAGTATGCTTCTTACAAGGCTACAATACAGTACAATTTTAGTTTGAGGAGAGCTGAATGGTTTGCTATTTCTAATAAGAAAACCCAGAATTTTTGACGCTTTCTTTACAACCTTATCCATGTGGGGAACAAAAGGTAGTTTGGAGTCAACTATCAAACCTAAATCTTTGATGGTGTCTACGTGGCCAAGTGGTATGCCGTTTATATTATAACTATATTGTAATTTATGCCACTTACGGGTAAAAGTTATTTGGAAACATTTTTTAACGTTTAGTTGCATATTGTTATCATTACACCATTCCAAAAGTCTATCAATATCACTCTGAAGCAGCAATGCATCTATGTTTGATTCTATTATACGAGCTATTTTTAAGTCATCCGCGAACAAGTACGGAGTAGAATAGAGCTATACTTTAATATTAATAATTTTTAAATATAGGTTTGTAGAATCTTTATTCTCATAAGAACAATTGACCAGCAGTTGACCAGTGAAGGCTGATTGATTGATGAACATGGAATGATCTAGGATGATCAAGTTAATAACAAATTAAAATTTATGAAGTGTTGGAAAAAAGTCTTGCTCCGCATTTGCATCCGCTCACAGCGTGTAACGGTCAATAAGGAACTTCATTCCAATACCCGTTACGTTCAAACAACTGAGCGTACCCCAAAACGGTACAAAACAGAAAAGAGTTCTCAAACGAAGTGGAGAGTTTTCTTCTGTGCTTATTGCTAATAGGACCCGTACCTTATTTACACGAGAGTTCCTTTAAATGAAACTAATTCGATAAATGATTTTTTTTAAGTAAACGGTACACATGACACATACCGTGTCCTTAATCCTCTAAAGTCCTAGATATCGTTATCAAGTAATTATTGCTGTAAATTGTATGAGTGTGTATTTGCGACTTAATTGAATATTTATTAGAGAAATACAGGTTTTCTGTTAGGCGCCAGACACCGACGTCAACGCGGATAGTCGCGTTACGACATGGTAAAATCCATTTAGGGTATGCCCGACTGGTTTTCGACATGATCCAAACTAATGTGGCATAACCATAATGCACAAGTGAAATAAATTCATGCGCCTATATTAGTGATTTTTTACCAACGTGGTCACAGATAAAATCTTTTGTAAAGATTATTTTTTAGAAATAAAATCGATCCTATAATAAATACCTTAGTGCGAGCAACTAATATGTATCGTATTTACCAGTAATCTATTAATTATTACGACATCCTATTTAGCCAGTAAACTTTTTTTTAATATTATTAGTCGATTGACCAATAATTAAGTTAAAAAAAAAAGGATTATCGACTTCGATGACGTATCGTAAAAAACTGTATTCTTCATTACTCAATTTTACACTCTTTTACCAAAAGCAAATTAGAATTAGAATGTGATGAAACCTTCAAACATAAAAAAAAAATCTATTGAATTGCGAATTTTCTCCTTTTTTTAGTCGATTAAACATTATAACTAAGGTCAGTCAATATATATACAACCGCCATCAAATTGCATCTATGATAGTTTAGAAATATTTCCCACACCAAATATCGAACCTGCGTACGCCACTCTGAAACGAGACCTTGCTTCTGTCCTTAATTTATGTACTTATATGGTACATGACCATTAATGGGCGCAATATACTTATGTTTGAAGTAAATATTACAAAATCTCTTTCTTTAGTTTAATACTAAAGAGACTTGATTTAATATAATCTTGTATATTCAAATGTTGCAGAATGTTATTTGTAAACGGTTTAATACGCAACACAAAACGTCAAGTTGATATAACGACAAATTTAAATACAATTGCCACATAGTGCAACAAGTTCTTCTTTTAAATGTATTCAGTTCCTTGCTTATTTACGACAGCAACACCAAAAAAAGGTAATGGCCTTTAATAAGCGTGTCTAAAAAATAAAAAATAATGGAATAAATTAAAAAAAAGATACGAAAATTAAAATTGTAAATTTAAAACTCACTTGTCTCCAAAATGGCGAAATCCGTGATTTTGACATTACATTACACTTCACTTATTTTAAAATTAAAAAAAAATTAATCACTGTTTTAATGAATGAATATTATTTTAATATTATCATCTAATTTATAATAACAACAGAACTACATCTCGTTGTCATGACATTATTGCAACTGACCGAATAAAGTTCGCTGTTCTTAAGCAATGAAAATCATCAGTATTAGAAACTATAAGTTGAACTCTATGTCTACTGCTTTTTGGTCTATTATTCTTTAAAATATAAGTGTAGTATTGACGACTGGTTTTTGAATCAACCGGTTTGCTTTAAACGCCTTAGTTTTCGCCCCAAGATTTGCTTGCAAAACAAAAATGCTAATTTTATTAGTGATGTGTAATGGCAATATTTAAGTTTTATTGACTATTTTTAAGCTTTATCGAACTGACTGACTTAGGGTCAAATTCTGGATGCTGAATTACAAACGCATACTTTTAAACTACGGATATTACTTGAATTTTGTAGGTCAGTCAGTTTCAATTTTGTAGTTGTCAGGTTCAGTCCTCCCCCTTATGCTGCTTAGCAGTATTTGTAACGGATTTAGAAAGGTAACTATCACGGTTATGTTAGCTCTGTTCATTTAAGAGTAATAGTCATTTAAATTTTAAAACATGTCCATACTTGGAAAATGTCTTACAAAATATGAAATGCTTGTATATAAATAGATTTAAAGGGTTTTCCAATAAGAGGTGTTATTTTAGTATTCAAAGAAAAATGCAATTTTTTAAGATAAATAATCGGCTGTTTATTTTATAATAAAGAGGAAGGTATGCCGTTAATAATGGAAGATAACATCAGCCAAATGGCTACCACGACCACGCTTACAGGACCATATCCTTTTAATGAAATTTTGCATAACCAAATCGCAAAGTGGCTGCCCTATGTCCTCGATAGCCTCACGAATTCCATCTTTGGATGGCGTAGACCTTATCTTTCACGTGGCCCCAAAGGAAGAAGTCGCAAGGTGTTATATCACAAGATCTCGGTGGCCAATTGTGATCACCTCTTCGAGAGATAACACGGTCAGGAAACTTTTCCAGTAAAAGAGCAATGGTTTCGTTGCTTGTGTGGCACGGAGCGCCGTCTTGTTGAAATTAAACATTGTCCAGATCAATACCATCCAACTCCGGCCATAAAAATCATTAATCATATCTCGATAGCGCAATCCATTCACCGTAAGTGTTGATCCAACCTCATTTTCGAAAAAGTAAGGTCCAATGACCCCGCCGGACCATAAACCGCACCAAACAGTCACACGTTGAGGATGGAGAGGCTCTTCAATAATAACTCTCGGGTTTTCCGAGCCCCAGATGCGACAATTTTGCTTGTTGACGTAGCCTCCTATGTGGAAATGGGCCTCATCAGTCAAGATGATTTTTAGATGGAATTCCGGATCATTTTCATGCATTTCAAGCAAAGACACGACGTTGTTGATGATCGGCCGGCTTGAGTTCTTGTGTTAACTGAACTTTATAAGTCTTAAGACCCAAGTCTTTATGCAAAATACGGTGTAATGACGTATCCAAAGAACGACGAGGAATGGACAAACCTGCGTTTTCTTCAACACTTTGGGCTACAGCAGCAATATTCTCAGTTGTTCTTGAGCGACGTGCACGGGTTTTATTCTTCACACCATTAACTTGTCCCAACAGCTCGAATTTTTCCACCAATTTCTGTATTGCGGTCCGACAAGGTGCTTCACGACGACCAAAAAATGCTTTAGTTTTGCGAACTGTGACTGCAAGATTTTCACCATTTTTGTAGTGAATTTTAATAATTTCAATGCATTGTTGAAGTGTGTATCGTTCCATTTTTAGTAATGGCGTAGTTTCTACTTGTCAAATGTCAAAAAATAAAAGCTTCAAAAGTGGCAGCTACCAAAATACCGGGTGATTCAAAATAACACCTCTTGTTGGAAAACCCTTTAGATAAAATTGTTACTTGTGTAAAAAATGTAGTAACAAACTACAGAACCCTGTAATCCGTGTGGCCTGCCACGCACTTGACCGGATTTTAAATCAATCAACGATTTGCGTTCACGAATATTTTTGTTTGCACATTATACATTGAAACACCAACACAAACAGATGGATTAACAGACAACTTGTTTGATGTATCATTTCTTAGATAATTAGATATTCAAATACATATTGCCTCGGTGGTGCAGTGGTAGCGTATGCGACTGCTGTGCTGAGTTCTCGGGATCGATTCGCGGGTAGACCAAATTTTTGTATGATCTGCAAATATTCGTTTCGGAGTTTGGGTGTTTTCTATCAATCTAGCTTTCATAGTACAAGGTCTACTTAGTTTGAAACTAGATGGGGTTGTGTGTTAGATGTCCGAAATATTATTATTATTATATTCCCTCTAGACTTTGACATTTAAAGTATCGTTTTTTAATATAACTCGTAGATATTATAATTAACGTTTAATAAATGTGTTGTTTTTTGCTTTTTTATGTTGTTAATTGCGTTTGTATATATTTTCAATTTAAACCGTTTATACTTAAAGAGAGCAAGTCACCCAGTTGTATTCTTGTAATTTATTTTAATATTAGGTCCTTACATATAAAATTAGCGTTTTGTCGTACTGTCCACTTTGATCTGAAATATATCCTCTTCGGTTAAGAATTCATATTTCAAATTTATAAATTCATTTAGCTGGTACATTTGAGTTTTGAAAACAGTCATTCATTTGTTTTTTTCCTCATTATTTTTTCTTTGGCGTCGCTTTTTACCGCACAATGGAAAACATGAAATATCGGTTTATTTACGTGTACGAGTTCTACCGTGGCACCAGTGCTGCAGAAACAGCTCGAAGGATTTATTATGTGTACGGCGCTGGTGTCGCAAAAGAAAACACTGGATGTTTTTAGTTTCAACGTTTTCGTTCTGGAAATTTCGAACTTCAGAACCAACCCCGCGAATACATTGCATGAGTGTGCGACTTAATGCCATGCGTATTTTCTTCCGCTTTCAGCTCTATAAGGCGCAAGTCTGGCCGCATATGGAATACTGTTCTCATCTCTATACAGGGGCACCTCAGTACCAGCTTCTTCCGCTGGACCGCGTCCAACGAAGAGCGACTCGAATCGTCGATAGCTCACACATCACGATCGGCTCGATCACTTGGCGTTACGTAGAGATGTGGCTTCACTCTGCATTCTCTACTGCATATATCATGGAGAGTGCTCCTAGGAATTGTTCGGACTAACACCAGCCGCAACTTTTCGCCATGGTTCCACACGGCGTTCAACTACAGTGCGCTTTTCGAGACACTTTTTGCCCCGCACAACCAATCTGTGGAACAGTAGTATTATCGTCTGCAGTATTTCTGGACCAATACGACCTTCAAGAAAAGAGCGTACTCCCTCCTAAAAGGCCAGCAACGCGTTTGTGACTCCTGAGTTGTAGATGTTCATGGGCGGCGATGGTTACTTTCCATCAGGTGACCCGTCTGCTCGTCTGCCCACCCTAACATAAAAAAAAAAACCGGTCACTACACTAAAACATCAATGAACAGCTAATACTCTTTTACTTTTCTTTTGGAAACATATGATATTGCTCGGAAAAGATTACATTAAATGATAAGATAAGCCCTTTGCACATAAACTGTGTCATTTCTATCACACTGTTTATATAGTAGAATCGTGTGTAAACAAAATGCAATCTAAGTATTATTATTTGCCACCCTTTGTGTAACATTTCAAAGCAGCTTGACTAGTTACTTTTATGACTGATATTGTGCTTACCGCCAACCTTCTTTTAGAATTTCATCCGATAGGACAAAGTCAGAAGGTAAATCAGAGTAAAGAAAATCATATAGGGTTAAGGAGCCAGGGCAAGACATGCATCAAGTCTTAGATGCTAAACGGTGGGACTGACTGAGAAAAACTGAGAGTGTAGAAGAGGCCTGGATCGCGATGTACGACTTTTTTTTTCATTTTGGGCTCAAACAAGCAGAAACGGAATGGGAAGTCCCAAGTACCGCCTGCAGCTCAAGAATCGAAAGTTTCTTGCCAACCTACATACCCACAAGGGCACGGCTAACCAGGCCTTCTCCGGTAACCTTACTCACTCGTTGATATGCAACTTTTTTCTTTCCTTCTTTTTTATAAAAGACAACTCCCGCACTAGAAATATACCCTATGAATAGCAATATGTAAATGCTTCCTCGGGAGTGACGAGTTCTCCGAACTATTTATAGGCCCAGGACAGGCATCACCATAGCTCCTTGGGCGAGTCTATTTTATGAAGCATGTTTATTATAATTTGACGATGTTGATATATGAGTATATAGACATATTAGCCTTCAACTTGCAAGAGTAGCAGCGAACAAAAAGTGTTGTCATTGATATACACCATTGCTTGGCTATAGGCATTTAATATAAAATCCATGTCACTTTGCATTTATTTTAAAAGAGAATACTCACTTTGTAATTCATGAATTTATAGTCTTTATTTTATAAATAACGATTTAATAGTGCCGTGATAACAACAGCACTAGGGGGCACAAAGGGGGCAGGTAGAGGGTCGGTATTTCTTTAAAATTCCTCGTCAAGAGAAGTTTAAGACCATTTTCTCCTATGCTTGTATAGCATAGTGTATCGTATAGTCTTTGTTAGTTTTTGTTTTGTACGGATTACGATAGAAATGTGGATCAATACTGTCCGTCTTAGCTACCTTTCCATTATTATTCTTTTCATTATTCCTACTACAATTCCAGTGTGGGTGTTTAATAACCCTGCCTTATCTGTATTGAGACACAGATGTGAGTGTATGTGTAATAACAGTGTCGGTTTATGGGAATTACTTTATACCTCAGTAAATAATTAGAACAAAATGAACGTCATTATGAAGATATTCGCTGAGGAAATCCTTATTTACAAGGTCACGAGTTATCATCTAATAATTAATGAATTGTAACCGGTTTTAAAGAGGCCCGGTTCGTAAATCCGATTTCGTTTTTTTGTTAAAGTATCAAGTTTTATTCATCCCCTATTCATCCCGTGGGTGTCGTAAGAGCCGACTAAGGGAGCAAACTACGCAGGATAACGGCACTGCAAGGAGAAGGAAAACTTAAAACAAACCCTAAACCAACCCGTCTAGCCAGCGTGGTATAGTAGGCCAAAACCTCCTTTCTAAGGATAGGCCTGTATCCTACAGTGGACTGTTATAGGCTGTTGATGATGATTAAGTTTTAATAAGTTTAGTTAAAACTTTAAAAGCTTACTTTCACTTGGTCTCTGTTTATCCTGAGTGTGAATGTAACAACACTCCGATACATTAGGATCGAATGTATAAATATCTATTGAGGTTCCGAAGACTTTCTTAACAAATAAATGTAGGAAATAATGTACCACTTTTAGGGTTCACTCTGCGGATTAGCTTAGAGAGTTCCAGAAAGATGTAATTTTAGCACAGCTATTTATAAAAATGACGCCGACCGTGGTTAAATTTTTTTTCAAAAAAATGTACTCATTAACTCCTGCACCACACCGGCTCTGGAGTGCTCCCCCAGAATTAAGGGTGGTAATCACAGCAACAGCCTTTAATAGTCCACTGCTGGACATAGGCCTCTCCTTAGAAAGGAGATTTTGGGCAACTATATAACGCTGGCCAAACGGGTTAGTATAGGGTTTGTTTCAAGTTCCGGGCCCAGATGAGGTACCTGGGTCTGGTCCTAGACGGTAGGTGGCTCTTCGACGAGCACTTCCGACAGCTTGGTCCGAAGCTGGTGGACACTGCCTCCGCCCTAGGGCGACTTTTGCCCAATTTGGGCGGGGCCAGTGTTCCCACGAGGCGGCTGTACGCGGGGGTTGTCCGGTCCATGGCGCTTTATGGTGCACCGGTGTGGGTGGCGGCTCTGACCGCCCCGAATAGGGCACGCCTCTGACGCCCCCAGAGGATATTGGCGGTCAGAGCCATACGCGGATACCGCGCGGTGTCCACCGAGGCGGCTTGCGCCTTGGCCGGAACACCCCCGTGGGATTTGGAAGCGGAGGTGCTCATGGTGGCTGACTTCCGGGCGGGGAGCGGATTTCGCCCACCGCCCGAAGACGTGCGCGAGTGGCGCGAAGCCGCTCGCCGAGCCACCATGGTCAGATGGTCGTTCCGGCTGGAGACTCCACGCGCTGGCTTCGCCGCCGTGGAGGCTCTCCAGCCGGTCATAGCCGAGTGGGCAGGGCGGCAGCACGGGACCCTTTCCTTCCGGCTGACGCAGGTGCTTTCCGGGCACGGTTGCTTCGGAAAGTACCTGCACTCGGTCGCTAGGAGGGAACTGAGTCCCGCCTGCCACCACTGCGACTGCAGTGAGGACTCGGCTCAGCACACGCTGGCGGTCTGCCCCGCATGGGCGACGCAGCGCCGGGCCCTCACTGCAGTCATCGGAGCAGATCTCTCGCTACCAGCCGTAATTCGCTCCATGGCCGGTAGCGACAGTTGTTTTACCACGGTCGCAACCTTCTGCGAGGAGGTAATCTCGCAGAAGGAGGCGGCGGAGAAGGCCCGGGAGGACGACCTCTACTCGGACCTGATCCGGCATGAGGCGCGCTTACCTGCGCCTCATGCCGTCCTGAGTGTGGCCGCGGGTAGACGGGATGGGTTCTCCCCTCCACCCGCATTAGTTGGCCAGCCGCGAGGGGGCGGCGTCCGCGTGTGCCGGACGTCGCCTAAAGAGAGGATAATTGGAGACGGAGCCCGCACCAGGAGCGGGCCGGCGCTGGGAGGGGTCCAGAAGGCGATAACTACCTGGACCCCTCCTAAACTGGAAGCGCAAAGAGGGCACACCGTGTGGTTTTAGTCGGTTCGAGTCCGACACACCACCCCGCCGCAAACCCCGGTGGGGTGACGGTCCGAGGGGATTTCCACACGTTAAAAAAAAAAAAAAAAGGGTTTGTTTCAACTTTTCAATCTCTTTGCAGAGCTGTTGTAATGCGTAGTTTCCTCAGTCCGCTCTTACGACACCCACGAAATGAATAGAAATGGTGACACTCTGTATTCTAAATCGGTCACCACGGATGTATTAAAAAATATCAAATTATGATGGTTCTCCAATAATGAAGTGTTTTATATATCTCTTAGCGGTAGAAAATGTCAAAAGTAAAACAGGCTAAATGTAATTTAAATAAGTAGTAACCGTCTGTAAAAATAAAAAAAGCTCGGTGTGTAAGGTTCTTAAAATCCTTCAAATCTGTCTCAGTAACGACGTAACGATGTCGGTATATCACATTACCTACTTACAACAGTTCCTGTAATAAAAATTAGTTTAAAGCCGTGGAGTCGAACCTGCCTTAAATTATTTCTTATATTTCAAATTTCAAATCAAGACTTTATTTTGCAGAACATGAGTAGGAATAAAAAAATTACAATGATATCAGTTTCATTATATCCTGCTGTCACAGCAGCATGCAAAATTTATACAATAAACAATAAATGAATATAAAGATTGGAATTGAGGCAAATTAAGCTCTACATGTTTCATCATCATCAGCCTATCGCAGTCCACTGCTGGACATAGGCCTCTCCAATTGCACGCCACTTTGATCGATTTTGGACTTCCTTTCCTTTCCATCTTGCGCGACTCGTCACTCCACCTGGCCTGTGGGCGTCCTACACTTGATACTACATGTTTATTCTTTGTTATATTTTTATTAAAGAAATGCTGATTAAAAATAGCGAGTATTGAAATTATGGATTTTAAGCTACAAACTATAGAAATAATATATTACTCAAATAAAATGTTTAGAATGTGTTTTATGAAATGAAATGCTCACTTAGTATGAATTTCCTTCATAAAAAACTGAACAATAACAATTAATTAATATTTGAAAAAACATGTAAACGGTAGTAAACGCATAGGAACAGAAATACAAAAAATAAGGAGGATAAGCTTGTGAAAAAAGGAAAATAGTTTACAGAGTTTCATTTTGTGATATAAGGAGCAAATAAGAAGAAGTTGGGTCATCTGGGCCTCAATTCTGCTATTTTATGTTAACGCCAAGCCACTTGTCACACTCCATCACTGTCATTCCATTGACACGCTATTGAGATGCCATTCAGACGCCATTGACATCGGTCAAAATATCAGTATTCTACTAACATAAATTCAGTGTCAATAAACTGTCGATATAGTAATATAGGTCATCAATGGTGATATCAACAACATTGCCATACTTGGAAAATTGAATATATAATTTTCTTACAAATTTAAAATGTACTGTTTACCAAACCGTTACACAGACATCGACGACACGGACTGCACGGATGGCGTAGTGGTTAAAGCGGTCGCCACGCAGCTTTCTATTACGCCGAGTGTTGTGGGTTCAAACCCCACATGGACCAACACTTTGTGTGATCCACAAATTGTTGTTCTGAGTCTGGGTGTACTTTGTGTCCGTTTCATGTATGTTTGTAAAGTCCCCCGCGACGCAGGATTTATTCCTAATGCGGGAGTTGTCTTTTTTAAATAACATTAGTATCAGTGACAAGTCATAGGGAGGCCATTGGTCTCACATAGTTTGTAGAATAGGAAAAGTGCAAAACTATGCCGACGACTTTCCATCGACAGTCTATTGATTCAATATTAAAATAGCAGAATTGAGGCCCTGGTGTTTAGTGACTTGCGAGGGTTAGTCATTCAAGATGAAGCGGTTGAACTCACTCGAGGCACTCTTACTTTATAATATTTCGGATACAACGCCATCTAGTTTCAAACTAAGCAGAGCTTGTACTATGAATAATTGATATAATACTAATATACTTTCTTTTTACTTTTTTGTAAATACATACATATTTTACATAAAAACTTTGACAAGTTGGTGATCTAATAAATCTAAGAGCACATCCAAAATAATAGTAACATTACAATTCGAAAATACAAAAACAAAATCTGCCGCTCACTACTACGCTGAGTGTTGTGGGTCCGATCCCCACATGGGATGGATTTGTGTGATCCACAAATTTTTGTTCAGAGTCTGGGTGGCCTTTGTATCCGTTTCATGTATGTTTGTAAAGTCCCCGGCGACACATGATATATTCCTAATGCGAGAGTAGTCTTATTAAAAAAGAAATACTGAAGCCGCCTATCCAAATACACATCGCAAGAACCTATTTTACAACTATCGATTTAAAACACATTAACAGAAAAATCATATTATCAAAATATTTTAACAAATAAAAATATATAAAATGAAAAAATGTAAAATAGTAAGCCTACTCCATGAACTTTTTGCTCTCGGAAAGCTAGGAGCGGTCCTCCACGGCTGAGTTGCGATCACTCTGCAACGAAAACAGGCAGCGGCCGAGCGTCGTCGCCAGACACAATATGTCCTTAGCAGAAGGCGCTTCAGACACCGAGCACAACATTAAGCAGGAGGACGAGCAGAACACAAACTCACAGACGCCCACCGGCACTAAGAAGAAGAAAAACGACAAAGGTAGACAGGTCAGTGGGATTTGCTGTTCTTTCATTTATTTTCATAAAATATTGGAGAAGCTGCTTTAGATATATTTTTTTACTATTTAAATATTTTTCCAAACCATTTTTTTGGTGTCCAGTTTGTGTGTTTATTTAAATGTGACTTTTCGTTATTGTGGAGGTAAATATGTGTTAACAAAACAAGCAATACTTTTGTTTTTTTTTTAAATTGTAAACTTTAGACTTGACTTGCCTGTTGGGCTAGTGGTAAGTGACCCTGACTGTTACGCCAGGGTTGTGGGTTCGATTCCACCCAGAAGAAATAAATGTGTGATGAGCACGGTCAATTGTTCTGTGTCTGGGTCTATTTTATCTATTATATGTATGTATTTAGTAATATATAAGTATGTTTATCAGCAGTCTGGTTACCATAGTACCATAGTACCATGGGATCAGACGGCCGTGTGTGAGATGTGTGAATTTCTACTTAAAATAATAATAATATTCTCATATTATTATTATTTAAAGTAGAAATTAAGAACTGACACACATAAAATTCTTAATAATACAAAATTTAACAGACAGAGTATTAGTAAAGCTTATTAAGTGTTTTTATTTAACTAGATAGCATATTGAATAAATAACGTATTAGAATTTTTAAATGTAAGTAAACCTTTTTTTAAACCTTTTTTAAAATTACCAAAAATACATTAAAGTTTATTATTAACAAAAAGCTTAATTCAATAGGGAAAGAAACAGATATATAAAAGGTCCAGGTTCAGTGCAGTCTTAACTAAGAGTTTTAATAAAGTGTTCACCCAACACTCAACAACAACTCAACTAGTGTACAATCAAATTCAACCAAATCAGAATGAATAAATAATCTGAAACTGTTTCATAATATTCTAAAACACAACTTAAATTTGATTATATCTATGTACAGTTGAAACAAAACAGCACTATACCATTTTAGTGTCACATGTGATTTTTTTGTAAAACAAATCCTTAATCAAGAAATTTCTTAGTATTTTAGTTAGTGACTGTAATATTTGTTGAAGTACTCACAGTAGTACAGTCTCCATGTTGGCAGAGTATGCTCCACTCTACAGAATTTTAGTGGATACTGTTCCATGTTTCAATATAACCCCTAAGAGGAAAAGAGGGAAGACTTTATTTATATAACTGTGAGTCGGATCCAGGGCTCTTAAGGAATAGCATCTCCTAAAATATTTAAAACTAACTAAATTTATTTATTATTGTCGAGGATATTTCCTCTCTGAAATTCCCTGCATGAAAACAAATCAATCTGAAGGACAATATAGCTCACAGCGGTTGTAGTCCTGTAAGTCTTATTTACAAAAGAAATAGAATTATTATTAAGCTTTGATATATTTAAAAAATAAAATCTTTGCTTTGCGTGGCTTCATGCTGTATCAATAAGGGAACATTATGAGAAAAAAAAAACAATATTTAGATATATCCTACTGATAAAAATAGCATATTTATAATTTCAGACATAAAACTGCCTGTAGTGGTTCTGCAATATCCACGTAATCCTAGGATACAGTGAACTAAGAAATATCTACTAAGTCTAAATCGGGTTATGAAATTTTAATATGTTATACACTCAATCAGAATTTTAAACCGTTGGATCGTGGAACAGATCTTCGACTAGGTTTGTTGATCATTCATGATCAGAAAACCTAGTCGAAGGATTGGGATGATTATATTATAGGGACATAACACCCGTCCCTCCACAATAGGGTAATACTAACATTTAATCCCATATACAGAGAATTAATCAATTCCGTAATACGTTATAGCATATTATTTAACTCGTAACCTATTTTCAATAGAAGTCTCCTTATAATTAGAGCCAATAAGTTTAACTAAAATTGTCCAATTGGACCAATAAATACTGACCTTAAAGTCACACCATAAGAATTAAACAATTAATGGGACTCACCAATTTGTACCATATTAGGTTTTATAGTTTAGTTCACAAACAAGCATATGGGCAATTGATACCAATTTTGTCTATATTCATCTTACCCGCCCACTTTTATTTAATTCGTTCGTAATTATGTTAACTTTATGTACTATATACGTATACAGTAATTGGTTTAACTCCCACGTGGGTTTTGTTGTTATCTTTAATGTTAATAACATTTTGCTGTTGTTATGTTGTAATGTTAATAACAAGTTCACAAATTACTTAATTAAACTAAATGTATGTAACATTTAGTTTAATTAAGTAATTTTAACTTAAAGTGTATTTCTTTAAAAAATCTTCTGTAAGCAGGCAGGTTTCTTAAAGGTTCTGGATTAGAGACCAAGGATGGACAAACATGGTGGCTAGATCATTTTACAAAGATCAATGCAGTTTTAGATGTAAACCGTTTTTAGGTGGTGTTTTTGGATGTTATTAAAGAAGGCAGCAGTAATTATAAAAGAATTTGTATTGTAGAACAATTTAGTTTTGTTACAAAACAATAAATTAATGATAAAAATCATCATATGACTACAAAATATGTGATTTAGCAACTTGATTTCTTATGGATATCATGACTCTCCTTGTAGGGTCTGTTTTTACTTTTGAATTTGGAGTATGAAAAATACCCGAAGCTTTAGTATATTGTACATTCATTCAATAGCTATAAACAAAGAATATTATAACAGAAATAACAAGACAATATTATTTGCTATATCCGCCATAAATAACTGAAGCTTTTGTCAGCCGGAAATTAAAAGAACAATACTTCAATTAAGCTTAGAGCATTTCTTGCGCACGCGCACCCGTGATCAGTGAACGGTGACACAATTATAGATCATTACTGTCGTAACACTATTCATTGATCTATTGTGTTCTTATTAGGATTTTTCTTGATTGCTCATAAATCGTTTTGAATTGAAAATTCATGGATCTCTGGTTATAATCGTAGCTTCGATGGTTATAAACTGCATAATAAAACTGGCATACTAAAACATAAATCTATCTAGCGTTTAATCAATTCATTGAAACATTAATTGTCTACATTTGATTAATAAAGCAAATAGTGGCGCGTAATGATGATGATGATGCGATGTGATGACGCCATTTTTTGAGTTAAACGTAGTATTACGTGAAATTAATTTTCAAGACCGTCGTGAAGACGATGAGTACTTTTGTTACACGGAAATTTTTTGAGGTATAATATAAGAAACTAAAGACGGCAAACTCGTACCGACCGGCACCAAGCTGTGATCTTGTCTAATCTTTTTTGGTTTGTTTATTATTATTACTATTATTATTACTATCTCATGTTTTATTATTTAAACAAGTATAAATTATCTCTAACCATGATTAGATTATTTTTCATGAAACCATGTTGTAGACCCTTCACCATTGTCAAAAATTCAACTTTCAAGTCTTTAGACCTATAAAATATAATGTGTTCACACAAAAATATATTAAGAAAATAAAGAATTATCTGTTCATGATGTTGAGAATTTCTCCTGTTTTAACAAGGACACTATTTATAAATATGTGGTAATTTTGAATGATTATTCAAAATCACCAAACTACTAATATGACCTTTGTAAACCAAGATGGATAATTTAAAATTGTTAAAATTATGCAATCCTTGCCAGATGTCAGACTCTTACATGTGGAAGGAACAGATTCATACTTTGATGAAGGGCGGAGAGAGCGAGTCCGATATCTCGGACTCCGAGAACTTCTTGACTAAAGGCGCTTTCCTTCTCACACCCTCCCACGGCCTCAGTATGGAGAAAGCTTCGGCCATCTGCGAGAAAATGGAGTTTAAAGGATGCTTTTCCCTTACGAAGACCGCTACGGGTATCTTGTTTAAGTTCTCCAGCGTTGATGACTACCAAATGGTCTTCAAGAAAGGTTTCCATAAAGTCACTGGCTCCAGGTTTTATAGGAAGGTAATTGGTTTATGCAATTATGCTTTCATTTCAAACGCTTTCATAAAACTATCAAATGCTTATCATTTCAACATACGTCTTTTCCAATAACTTTTCTTTCTTTACTCTTTTTACGATTTCCTCTTCGCCCTTCTGTCTCAAATGAGTGTCATTTTTCATTTTAATACTACGCCACAGTTTGTTCTTAAAAAAAAATCATTTCTATATACCAGCCAATTATCATGACAACCAATTAGTACAAGGGCGAGCTTGTCTTTAATTTTTTTTTAATTTTAACCTCGTAACCTGGTCTTTTAGATTGCAATTCCGTGTAGACCTCAGAAAACATTCACGGTCTACGTGTATGACATTCCTGATGAAGTCCCAGAGGAGGATGTGCGTCACGCCCTCTACAAATTTACCTCCATCGTAGAAGTAGTACGTCTTCATTATTCTGGAATTTCTGGATCTCCAAAGGACGGAAACACTGGTTGGTATAGTATAGGTATAAATATTTCTTTTACAAAATTAGCTTAGCATACATTTATTGGGATACAAATAATACTACCTTGCCAGGCGCTTTGTCCAGTATTAATTGTGGGTAGTTCACATCTCAGCTTCAACAGTTTGCCCCATTTCGAGCTAAAGTTATTCCCAAGGTAAAATTAAATATTATTCGTTTATTACATTACTGGTTACTAAAAGCCGTTACATCATTATGCAACATCATGTCATAATTCGTTTTCATTTTTTTACGTTTTTATCCATAACTGTATGGTTTTAAAGGATCTTCTACACCCAAGCCCATGGAAAAGACGACTTCCCGTGCTCTCACTACCATCGACGGTGAACTCGCCAGCAGCATGATTCCAAAGGAAGCGACCAGCGTGGTCCGTGTTACGTTGGCCAATATCGAGGAAGCCAACATTCTGTTACAGAATGGCCTGGATTTCTATGGAGCTACTTTCTTTCCAACTGAACTGGCTACGCCCGCTCAAGCTGCTAAGCTTATCAAACCAAGCAGGTACTTTCAATATTTTATTTGTTAGCTTTTATGTCCCTTTTCATCATTGATTAAATCGATCCGCTATCAAAAGTTATAGCTGTGAGCACTTAAACTGTACTTGAAAAGAAACGCCATGCTGAAATATGCCATTGTACAAAGTTTGTATACGATTTGTCAGGAGTAGAATTTCTAAGTACCGTTAGTGCGATTCTTTGATACAAATATTAAATCAATTATTTATCGGAGTAATAAAGGATAGACATGTTGAGTCCTACAGAGAGCTTGTTGAGAGAGATGTTTTGTATGGTCCATATGTAATAAGGATGTTTATAATTTGATTAATTAGTAATATAAGTTTAGATTTACATTCTCAAAGTCATCAAATCATCACTTATCCCAATTTTATATGGGACCGGCATTTTTGTTTTTCTTTGCCACAAAGTCTTTAAATGACTAAAAAATAATATTTATTTCAAATACTAAAGTAAGTTTAAATGTTTTACCTTTATTTACAATAAATGCACTTATTAGTTTAATATTACATGATACGTGTATAGTCTATAATTTTATTACATTTGTGGTCAACAGAGCTACGAACACATATTTATCACATCAACATAAAGCTAACGTATCTTGTTCACGCCATGTTTTGAGCACAAACACAATTTTAACAGGATGTTAAAGTTTAATTGTCCCCAGGGTGACGGGAGGTACTGTTTCCGCGAGGGTCAGAGATCTACTACCCGTTTTCGACCAACAGGGATTTGCTAAGTTCGCGCCACCAGCATCCCGACTTGTCAAGCCGAGGTCCAAGTAGACATGCTGAATTTTACCCGTCATGGCAACCACCTGTCACATAGGAGTTTCAGCTGTGCAAAAATTTGAGTTTGTCGAGCTAAAATTTACTATTAAAGATTTCCCTAAATCACAGATTTGCTTACACTTTGTTTTGTTTGTAATATTTGTGTCTGACAGTACGTTTGCAATGACAGGTGTCAATTCAAAGGAAAGCTTTGGACATGGAAATTGAAACGACAATAAATAACACAATTTAATTATATATTTAGGATGATTGTATTATTAAAAACTAAAATGTACATATAAAAAATAAATATTTGAAAAAACAAAAAAAAAATACGGAGCTAATAGATCTCTATCATCAACTATGTACTTAATATTGTATGACAGTTTTATGAGTACCAAAATGCATTTAATGACATTTAACTAAACTAAATACTGTGCCATAACAATAACTAGATCTGTAATTTCATATTCGTTACCTATTTGTATTAATAAACGTTATTTTCTATATACATATAGTTTTATTTGATGATGTTCTTGTTTGATGTTGAACTTAACAGAAGGAATTCAGAAGGCTTGCTTTATTTAGATAGAATAAAAAAATATACCCATTAAATTTCCTTTATGTTTGAAATGTCTAATTAAAAATTATTATACGTTTGGGAGTGGTGTACAAGTTTTCGTCAAATGTTGCATTAGCTGTCTTAGTAAGTGTCCCATAATAAGATTACATTGCATTTTTCTTAACTGAATCGTTAGATGTGTAACCCTGAACTTGATTGCCACTTTGTATTCTTAAGTTACTTTTACTTACTACTACTGGGTACTAGTTGTATACTGATATGCACCTGTCAAGAATGTTCACTCCATGACAACACGGCCATCGCGATTAAATCCTGAGTTACAAATCTAATATGTATAAAGTAATGACATTAAAATCAAAATTTATTCGTTCTTTTGCATTTTCTATGCTAATATTGACCTAAGTTACAAAGTCTTTATTAGTCTATATTTAATATACTATATATTATGAAGTCTTGATTACCACAGTTTATATAAATATAGACTATAGACGTGTGTATTCTTCTTTATGAATTGAGAAATGTGGATTAAGAAAATTAAGATTTTTGTAACAGAGTGCATGTGCTTTTTATTAAAAAAATAAACCTACGGTTGACATTGTAATATATCAGGGCTGACCTTCATAAAAGAAATTAAACGGACTTATGATTGGGAACCCTTCTATTAAATTTAACTTGAGCTATGTATATTGGTTACATTTCTGTAAAGATTTATATATTATGCATTGTAGGTAACGTGCGGCTATTACGTTTAACTTTTGAGAAAATATAAAAATTTGCAAAAACAGTTTAAAAATAAATAAGAGATCCATAATAATAGGCAAGAGTTACATTCTGTTTTCCCAAATTCAATACAATATATATATAGATATATACATATATATATGTATGTTTTGAGTAGACATGTTCATTTCTACTTGTATCCTATTAAATGATAGAATCTAAAACTATAATACTTACAAATAAATTTATCACTTCTAAGTTAATAATATTTATAAATAAAATACTTAACAGTTACTTTGTTAGTAAATTCGTCTTTGTAGGGAATGTTACATTCATACGTTTAACATACATAATAAGATATGGCATATACAACGTTTCACTAATTATAATTATTATCACTCCTTTCTTCTTCTCTTTCTCTCTTCTCTTGAAAAATATAGTATAAATATATAGTATAAATAGTATAATAAAATATACGATTGATCAAATCGCTTGTCAACTTCTCATAATACATCCATGTTTAAACATCTGCACTCAAACAATAAATATCTATTTTACATTTTGTTTTCTTTGCTGCCATTAACAAAAAAGTGATTTAAAATTGTCCTTCGTTTATTTTTTCTTTTCTATTTGATGTTGGTTATGGAAACTACAGCTAAAAACAGAAAGCTAAAGACCGAAAAAAGTTTTTTCCGGTCGTTGTACTCCATATTATTCCTATCACTTAAGCCAATGAACAAGGATTTAATCCTGATGGTATTGACATTTACAATCCTAGTCTTATTATAAAAAAAACTAGTGCCACACATATCTTTACTGGTATAGATATTTAAGATTAACAAATAATTTTTATAATAATCATACGGACTTCTGTTGAAAATTATAATTCCAATTTGATTGCCGGCGTAAGCGAGTTTTTGGAAACACCGTATCCTTTCTTCAATGACTACTTTAATATCACAGTTTTAACTTATTTCGCTTTCAATGATAATCAAATACTTCAAATGTTTGTAAAAGTTTCTTCTACAATTTTTACATCAGATTTCTTTCCTCTCTTAAATCTTTCTTCAATCTCTCGTAAGCTCTTTCCTTTTGTTTCTGGCAATATAAAGTACATAAGGGCAGTACCAAAAAGAGCGATAACTCCATAAGTAAGGAATGTTACCACCTCACCAAAATTTGTCATCATGCCAGGAGCAGTCTTGACGACAACAAAGAAAGACACAAACGTAGTGGCTGAACTAATACCAGATCCAAGACCTCTGAGTTTTGCAGGGAATACTTCACCGCACATGATCCAAGGTAGGGGAACTAGCCCTATTGAAATGGCACATATATAGAACATCAAACAAATCAATGGCAACCATGCCATATTCTCTGGTTTGAAATATAAGAACATAGCTAACCCTATCATGGACAAAGCGGTCCAAATGCCACTAATAAAACATAAAGGTCTCCTTCCATATTGTTTGCATATTACGCAAGCAACAATTGACATGACGACTCTCAATGAATCAATTATAAGCATTGTAAGGTAGTGATCAATTGCTTTTCCGACAGCTTTTTCAACGATTTCGATAGAATAGAAAGCAACCGCATTGACACCGGAAAACTGGCAAGTCATGAAGAATAAGATCATTATAAACAGAGGTTTGATCAGTTCAGGGCTTTTCAAACTTCTTAGCTTCTCTTTTAAGTTCATACGTGGTTCATTATCGGCAGATTTTTTGGTATCCAGTATTCCTTTCAGTTCCATTTTGGCCTCTTCACCGTATCCTCTTAACCAATAGAAAGCTTTAATGCCATCATCAATCCTACCTTGAGTTATTAGCCAACTGGGACTCTCAGGTATAAATGTTAGAAGGAAAATTGAGAGAATAGGAAAGGAGCCACAGATGATTGCAGTCCACTGCCACGTCATAAAAGTTCCTATCGCATGTGCTGCCAGGATACCCAGGGCGATGGCTAGAGATATACTTGCAAGGAAGAACCCTCTATACCTTGGTTCTGTAATTTCACCAATATATACTGCTACAAGAGGACCAAGCAGTCCAGCACAGAGACCCGTGAAGAATCTGCCGATCAGCATAAGACCCAGGTTGTAGGAGCAGGCAATGAAGATCCAGCCGAGGAGTAAAGGTATACAGGTTATATACTGCGAAGTGCGTCGTCCAAACTTTTCCATCATCCATCCGGAGACCAGACATCCAGGTGCCATAGGAAGTGCTGCCATAGCCGCTGGAAAACGAAAAGGATAAATCAGTTTACACTTAGCAGGAGTTTGATCTTGGAGTTTGTTTATGTCAGTTTACACTTAGCAGGAGTTTGAGCAAAAAATAAATTGTATACAAATATTAAAGGCCTTTAGCCTTAAGTGAAATACAAATTATGGACACTAACCTATCCATGAAGCGGTATCATCATCTGAGGGTATGGGCCCGGTGCCATTCTTCAGTTGTGGCAGCAATATCGCCGAATAACCAGAAGTAAGTCCAGTGATGAACGTTAACAAAATCGGAGCCGAAGATCCTAAGGTCTGAAATTAAAAAAAAAGCTTCAGTTACCAATTCTATAAAATTTTAAACATGATTTGTATCCTGGGGTATATAAGTTGATGATTAAATACAATCCGCTTGTTTAACTTGCTAGTGAGCCAGTTAGACAGGTGTTAGCGAATAGTATATTTACAGAATTATTATATAATAATTGTCATATTTATTTTTATTTGTAGTATACTCCGTAATTAACTACATCGCTGACATCATCATCTGCCTACCCTTATCCAAATTTTATTTGGGGTCTTACTGTTTTAGTAAATTTAGTGAAATCAAAAATATAGAAAAGTCTTATTTTAAAACAGATTAATTATGAATTTTGACTAATTTAGGTACGTGTGGTGACGGATTAAACCCCTGTGGTGACGGATTAAGAATACGAAGTGACACCACCCCTATTCGTCCCGTGGGTGTCATAAGAGCCGACTAAGGGAGCAAACTAAGCAGGACAACAGCACTGCAAAGAGAAGGAAAACTTCAAACAAACCCTACGTCAACCCGTCTGGCCAGCGTGGTATAGTAGGCCAAAACCTTCTTTCCAATTAGAGGCCTATGTCCAGCAGTGGACTGTTATAGGCTGTTGATGTGATGTGATGTAGGTAACATTTCGTACGAGAGAAATATTGATCAGAGTTTTTGGAAATGTTTGTATTAAAACCATTGGAATTGATCTAATGACTTAATTTGTTTCGAAGAAATAGCATATATATGTACATTAGACATTTTCGAAATCCATTTCTTCAAGCTAAATCAATGAAAATAATATTGTCGGTAACATATTACGCTTCTAATATTTACACACATCTTTGTGTAGCGGCCTTCAGTTATTCTTTTATAATTAGAGAAAGATCCGACTTCAAATCATGAACAATGACTAATATGAAATGTTTTTATTATAACAAAACCGATCCTTGACTCATAGCGTACATTTATATAAGCGAACAATTGCATGTACATGTGGTTACTATGTGGAAAAATTCTATTTTAAAACAGTTTGTAAAAGTCATCCAAAAATATATATAGATACATATGTTTTAGTTTCTGTTGATTGGCGTGTTGATTTAAACTCACAATATCTATATAAAGAAAGAACTGTCTAAATAAAGAGATTTATTACAATGCTTGAATGTCATGTGTTACGTGTGTTATATTAAATAAATGTATACATATCTTATCTTATTTTCCTTAGCGAAGATTGTTACGTTAAATTGCATTTATTACGTTCAATGATAAATACAGACCTTCCTTTATTGACTAAATCGTACGATCCAGTAATAATTTTCGATTGATATCTGTTTATTAGTTGCGCAGAATTTAAATGTAATTTTAAAATGTACATTACTATACAAAATGTAACATTGTGCTCAACAAAATTGGTTGTCCTAACCTAACCATATCCTCACTCACACAGTCCATCCACTTTTTCTTTGGTCTTTTTCTTCTCTTGTACCCTTCAACTCCTATACCTAACACTTTCTTCGCCACATTTTTCACTAAAGAACAGAAGAAGAACAGTTTGGGTAACCATTAAAAGGTAAACCACGTTTGTTTCTTAAGTTGCATATGACCATAGTCGGTTGTAGTGTCTTACCACCAGGTGACCGGCCTGCTCTATTGCCTGTTACACTATAAAATAAACCATCACATCACATCACATCACATCTGAACCATGTTAAGTATGAAATAATCTGAAAGTCAGTATTACCTGTTTCAATAACGGAGAAAATCTTGTAACAGTTTGAGAGTCTTTTAATAGATAGTTGTCCTTATTTTCAGTCGCTTTAAACGTAAGTCCTAAAGAAGAATTAGTCATCTGAATATTGTGCAAATAGTTTGACATTCTTCTAGAATTTCTTTTGTCATCTTGCCTTTTATTAAGATCTATTATTTTAATTTCAGCTTGACTACTACAGTTCTTTAATGTTTCATTTACTATTTCATGAATACTTTGTTTGTCTTCATAATTTTTAAATTCTTGTTTAGAACTACTTTTGTGGAATATTCTAGATCTTCTCTCGGCATTTTCTTGATCTATGGCTGAGTTTATAGCTTCAGAGACAGCATCTTGTTGAATGTTGTTGTAATCTCTGTCTTCATGATCCTCTTGAGTATCTCTCAGATCTTCATGACCAATTTGAAAAGCTCCGTTTTGTTGTACGAGTGAAGATTCAATATTCTCCGGCAACGTTTCTCCCATTGCTCGATCTGAAAATAGGACAAAAATTGTTTCAGAAATATTTAAGTGATTTACGGTAGGCTATGAACTCAAATATGTAACAAATCTACCTAAATATCTACGGTTGGAGAATACAATATTATATGGTACTATGAATTGAACGTCTATGGGATAACTAATATACCAAGATGTGGTATGTTCATTCATTAGTATGACTAATGTAGTCCGAGGTATTTACGCAATACAATTTTTCAAAGTAATTTTCCTGTTTATAGGTACATTACACCATAAGTCAATATTCCATCACATGTTTGTATTATAATACATGATGGCTAGTTGATGTTCCTTAATACGAGTTCCTTTCATATGATTACGCAACACCGATTTCTTCGAGCTACTGTGCTTTCACTCTCGTTCCCTATTTGTTATATCCCTACCCCTTTTTATGGTTGACAGGGTGGAAAGTGGAAAATCTCTTCGCATCTCCTGCTCCTTGGAGACTCAGGAGTCAGGAGTATGTTGTGGTTCCACTAAAAGCAACCCCGTCAGCCGGCTTCAGCCTCAGTACTCTGGGAGGACCCGGACCATGTGATTTCAGGTTCTCCCGAATCGTCACCACTTCTAATCAGACCCTATCCTGGAATATGTCTTCCCCAGCTTGATGAGATGATAATGATTTCATACAATCTCACCCAAGCTGTGGTATATTTATAAACTGTGGTATACTGTGGTAATAGGCCACGTTTCTGCGAGGTACAGACATTTTAGAATCTGAGACAAACGAGCAAAGGGGTCATCTGATGATAAGTGACTATCATCACCCATGAACACCTCAACTGAACCTGAAACCTGAACTCAAGAGAAAACAGCGAATTTGCTCTTACTAATTGTAAATCAAGCTAGAGGAGGGGTGCCGAAGCTTGCCTTACCTATGATGACAATAATCGGTTACAAATTAATCAAGGGAGCAGTTTGCAGTGTTTATCATTTATCATTCATTTATTTATCAATTTAATACTTATATAATAAATTTTAATGCTGTTATCACAGCTATTAAAACTGTGAATGTAATCAACACAAGGATACTTCAGATAATACTTGCTACTCCCAATGTTTATTTTATCTATATTGTTATTTTATTATAAATATTTGCTAATAGTAAGATAAATATGTACACAAATATAACGTTTATTTATTATTGACTTGTAATCGATTACGGAAGTTTTTGTCTTCGTTTTATTTGTTCTTTCATCGTTTATACGTATATTACTCTGTGTATGTGTGTATGTGTACTATATATTGATAAATAAAGGAATACATATATATATAAACACTCGCTTCTTTAGCCCAAAAAGGAAGACAGAAGCGTATTACAAAACATTTTGCAGCCTATAATTTTAGCCTATCTTAATATATGGAACAGACTGCTATTCCAAAGGTCGCGGGTTCGATTCCCGCTAGAGTCAAACATTTGTGTGCATGAACATTTAATGTTTGATTTGGTCTGGGTGTTTCTATGTATAATATGTATGTATTTACAAAAAAAAGTATATATGTATTTATATCAGTTGTCTAGTACTCATAGTACAAGCTCTGCTTAGTTTGGGATTAGATGGCGTTGTGTGAATGTGGTAGAATATTATTATTATTATATGATTCTGTTAGTTTAATGTCGTCAACCAGACATTTTAGGAATAATACAGTATTTATTATCAAATAAAAAACCGATTGCGTGAAAATATTTCTATACTTACAATTTATAAACCAGTGATTTTAGTTTTTAAATTGTTCATACACCTAGTGTCACTCTTATAATTAAGACGAACCTAACGACACCTCCCAAGCCAAAGTCCATGGAGCCGTTTAGGCTACAGAGCGTGCCATAAAAATAAAACACACACAAACAGATAGAGTTCAAAAGTAAAACTCTCCTTCTGACGTGAGAAGAACCAGGAGAGGAAGAACCAGGAACTTCGGAGAACCAGGGATTATTATCTGTCACTTCAATAATCAGACCCTTGGTATGTATGTATATGTGTGTATATGTATTTATACGTATAATATATTTTACTATCCTAATTAATGTCGGTATTTGTTTAGTTTTTATGCTTTTGTGTGTTGATTGCTACGTACGCATGACTGTGCCCTTACGTTTCTCTGTTGTCCTCTATTCGCTCAAGGTTTGCTGGAAGAAAACTCACTTTTGGGTTAAGCTCGCCTTTGTACATGACATTTCCTTGTTACTTATATATATGTGTGTGTTCAGTGTGTACAATAAAGAATAAATAGAATAGAAATAAAACTGGCTCTCATTAGAGAGTCTGACCCCTCTAACCTCTAGTTGATAATGATATAAATCTATGAACAGTTCACCTGTTCGAACAATAACAATGCCACGTGGGTTTATAATGTCATGTTTATTTTTCCATTACCAACCGTTTATTTCATGATTAAAACTGTTGTAGTACTAACAATTATTCTATAATAACTCTGGAAAAAACTACAGCGGTATGGAGTCTGTAAACAATGGAATAATATCTCGTCAATTATTTGTTTAATAGTGTTCATATCTAGAACAATAGTGGCGTGTTTAGATAGGAAAGTAGCATAAAACATTGGGGCTTATTAAATATGTTCACTAATCATTGTTATCTAATCATCAACTTTAAGAAAAACTTTAACGATTTCATTGTGCCTGAATTCGTCTCTTCACTTACTCTATTGTGTTTTTTGCGTCAAATAATTCCTCAAGGTTTTCTTTATCTAGAAAATGTTTTGACGTGACAACGTCTTATAAATTGGTTTGCCGGGTGACACTTCAAGAAACTGCGTTACGCTCCGCTCACGTTATGCGCTCACAATGAGAGCGAGTGAGAGGCACGCGTCCCTTCCACTCGGGCATGGTTAGCCCGCCTAAGAGCGAGAGAGACAGACATAAAAAGTGAAAGGCACGCGTCCCTTTTTTAAATATAATTCTTTGTATAAATAAATGTTTTAAATTGTTACTATTATTTCATCCTTCTTCCTACTATACGAATGAATATTCACATTAAAATTATTTTACCACTCAAAGTCGTTGTCACGTAAAACTTTCGCCCGTATACCGACTTTACAGGCAACCAATTTTTTTTCTGGATATACAGAATCTTGTTTCCATTTTATACAACTAACAATATCATTATCATATTCATTACTTAGTTTTAGCAGAACAATATGACGCACGTAACATGTGCATCCTATTGCATTTCCACACTGATAACATTAATCGATCTGGCAAATCAACTTATTTATTTAAAATTAAATGGTGAGCGATTAATTGACGAATTGCGCAAGGTGGCTGGCAGGAGCTGGATGCAAAATCTAAGTGGCGTTCAATATGAGAGGCCTATGTCCAACAGTAAACTGCGATAGGCTGATGATGATAATGAAATGGTGAGTGAAATGAAATGAATTGAAACGAAATAAAATAATCGATTACCTACTTATAAAAAAAGTGTGTGGTAACAATTATAGTAAAATCGATTTACAAATTTCTTCGTCAAAACTCGGACAGACAAATATGTACAACAAATAAATGTGTCATGTATGACACATAATCCTAATATTAATGAATGTTCCAACTATAAATAGAAATACTATTATATCACATAACTCATTAATAAAAACACAAATCAAGTACAATTCATAGTTTTAACAGAGTCATAGTTCACTTGGACTTCTCAGACAGTTTATAAGTAAACAATCTTTGAGTGTCATAAAATATATTGTTTGATATAATATTAATCTTATTTAGTCCAGCTCCATTCGATCCGCCTATATCACCGAAGGGATTGACAGGGGCACTTTAAACACCGACATTTGGTGAACTATAATTTGATTCCACTTATGCGATGGGGGGGAACCTAACCCCGGGCAATTTAAAAGGGATATTGTTTATGCGGATGTGCAGCGATCATATACCTGTAATTCAAACTGAATGAAAACACTAACACGCTATTCTAAGGTGAATGACATGTGTCAATATTAATACTACGTTACGGTTTCCTTTGAATCCTTATCTTAAAATTGTAAATACACTAAATTTTTAGAACCAATTATTCTCTCTGAAGATCTCCTCTAGTTTTAAGCGTTTGTATGTAAACAAAAAGGTCTATTTACTAGAGACCCGTGTTCGAACAGCCTTGGAATCTTAACGGGATGTCTCATTATCACCTACCAGTTCAGCTTAACACACCATAAGTAACAAGTAGCACAAATGACTTTAAAGTTATTTTATGTTCTTTTTTTTTAACACAACGCACTGTAGAAGAGATTACAAAAACATACAATTGTCGGTCAAAAAAGTATTCCAAAAACTGATCATTCTATAGTAAATCTAAAAACAAATATACAGTAACTGCTACTCTCAGGAATGTTATCAACAATTGTCTTACTACCCGTTTCCCATATATATGAGGTTGGTTCAATATCTACGTAATTTCTTTTCTAGCCATATTCCTCCATATGACTCTCTGACTTGGTAAAGTGGTTGGCCGACCAGTGATGATTTGTTAGGAAGTTTCAAAAATACCTAAATGCCTGAGAAATTTTATTACGCGATAAAGAAATTCATCCATCTTTCTTTAAGTAGTTCTCTACTCTTGCATCCGTCAATTACCATTCATATATTCATAGCTATATTAGTGTATTTTCACATATTTTGCTCAACCCTCCAAATCCCAGCTCTATACTACAAAACAATTGTAAAATCTATTTATACTACACAATGATTGAATTACATAGATTAAATCTTGTAGCGGTTATTTGTGCATGACAAAGAACGATCCACGTACCTGATCAGAAGCAATAATCATTTCTAAATAGGTACAGTCTACACAGCATGTTTGCAATTAAATACTGCTCATTTACAACCTAGCAGGGGTACCCTGTGATCCTTGACCAAATTATTGAAAAGCGTTAAGTCGGTGAGGTCAATTACTAGGCTAAATACTTACTCGCTATTAGCAACGAGTGTATTACTG